TTTAGTATGTCTGCGAAGACGGTTGGACGTTAAGGACGCGCCACCGATAAATATTTACTTGGTAAAACATCATTTTCAAATTAAACGCTTTCTAAGCGCGAAAATGAGCATGGACTACGGTACTGCAGCAGCGCGTGTGAGAAGCGGGGAGCCGGGCTACCCACCATCCACTCGGCAAGAGAGAAAATGCTGCTGCGCTTCTTGGTGAGGGCCAGACGGCTTCTGCGGTGGGGACATTTTGTGTTGAGACTTTTTACGGCTCCACCTAGCCTTACCATACCTCGGTGCAATTTCGTCTTTGTGTAACCTACCCCGTAGTCTGGAAGCTCCTGGCGCAACAAACTAATCGAACCTTTCAACTGCCGTGGGCGACTTTAAAGGGGCTCCGAAGTGAAAATTTGCGTGCGCTGCAGGTTTGAGCTTGGTCAAAAACTAAAAGTTTACTGCCGGAGCGTACTATGGCATTGATTGCTCAGCGCAAATGCAAAATATTTGAGAAAAAGCGAAAATTTTCGGGGGCGAAATCGACTTTTAGGAGCAGGTGAAGACTACATGTCGTAATGCCCGTAGAAGCAACCAACCCCTCAATCTCGATGATGCCGTGTCCAATTTTAACAATTCAAATGGCCATAAGATAGAAAATTTCCTGAGGGTACCAGCACTGCCACCATAATTTGAAATTTCCGCATTTCCTGCCCAAATAGCCGAGGAGGTGGACTAAACTTCTCAGCCCCTTTAAAAGGACGCGTTTCCACTCCAACAAATGCAAAAGACCCAAGCAAAATCCTAGATATGAGAAGCACGGAGATCGTCGAAGGCGCCCGAGACACCGTTCGGCTTGGAGCCAAACGCGTAAGTTCTTTATAGAGATGTTAAGAATCAATTAACAATCAAGATTATTTGAATACATTGGCACAATATTATTTTATTTGGATGAGGCTGAGCGCATGAGCAAGTAAAATAATATTATTTGACTCCGCTCGAGAAAGAGCCAAGTAAGATTACTTGATTTACTTGATTTACTTGATCAAACAATAGCTTTCTGAAATCTGGCATTTTATGGATGGTAATGAACTTTATGACATGATAATATGCTAATTTACTGGGTTTGCAGCACGATTGCCTGATTTGCATTGCGAATTTGCACAAAATCAAGTAATTTCGCTGAAAATCAAGTAATTCTCCCAAATCAATCAAGATCAAATTATAGTTACTTGAAAATTCCATGCAAATAAAGTTGTTCAAGTAAATTTACTTGGTCATTATATTACTTGATTCGTAACATCTCTAGTTCTTTATAATCCCAGCCGGTATTCCCAGAACTTTCTGTGACATCTGAAGTTCGGTGTTAAGAAAAAGTTCAATAAATAACTGGCAAAAATTTCTGAAAAGTCGAAAGAGCTTATTCTGCTGAACAAGGTGTGCTAATACTTGCTTGCGCAACTCGTTCTCCCGGTTTTACAGTCCCTTAAAGGTCCGGTCTTTGGCGATTTTGCCAATTTCGAGGCTTTATAACATTTTTTCTCCTTTTTTATTTAGCAGATTCTTATCACAGATTCGGAAAACAGGGTGTCCCAGAAAAAGCACCCCCTCTAGCGGTCCGGAATTTGATCGGTTCTCGAAAAACAGGTTTGTACTTCGAAACCGATCGATCGGTTTCGGAAAAAATCGGATTGCAGGCGAGAAACCGAGCGGAAATGAACCGATTTATGCTGAATTTTGGATGCAAATCACGATGTGCCTCATTTTTTTGGTGCTTTGCGCGCAGTGAAACTAAGCCGTTCTTAGCCTCCAAAAAATCGATATATTCCTTCCAGACATAATGGCTCTGGAAGTTATGAGCTAAACCCCAATTTCAGCACAAAAAATGAGAAATATCGTGATTTGCGTCCAAAAATTCAGCATGAATCAATTCATTTCCGCTCGGGTTCTCGCCTGCAATCCGATTTTTTCGAAACCGATCGATCGGTTTCGAATCAAATCCGGTTTTTCGAAACCGATCAAATCGGATTCTATTCAAACCGGTTTTTATGCAGATTCGATCGATCGGATTCATTTGAAAAATCGATTTCAATACAATCCGGTCAATCCAAGCATTGATTTCAATCCAATCGATTGGTTTCCTCAAATGCCAACCCTAGTGCATTTCCCTGGTCAGTATGGAAGGTTTCGAAGTGAAATTCGATATAGTAAAGAGAGGTATAAGGGGGGCCCGACGCCTGCTGTTGTGCGCAAAAACTTGTCGATATCAGACCGGGCTCGGCAAAATGGATTTCGGTTGGATGGACGCAACGCCGATGGATTATACGAATTATGATGACGGCCACATGGACCACCTTGATGGAGAGGGATGTCTGGAGGTAGTCTTTTCGGGGATGCAACCGTTTTATTCGTGTCTTTAGATGTGGCCGGCAGGCACGTGGAACAACATAAAGTGCGATCGAAAATGCTCGGCGGTCTGCCAGAAAGAAGCCGTAAGTTCAATGTGTTGACCGTGGTCCCTGACATTTTGATTTTCTCACAAAACAGTTCACTTTCCAGAAAACAGCTTCTTGATTGCGAACAACTGGCTTACGGAGCTATCTTGACCGGACTAAATAAATCATGTTAATTTTTGACCCGTGCATGCATCAAGTAACCACATCTGCCAACTGGGAAAACCGTGAAATTCCACATGAACAAATAAGGAAGATAGCGAGGATTTGCTTCATTAATAACTACAACTGATTAACCGAATTAATACCCGAAACACCCGAAAAATCGGGACTCATCAAAATCAAAATTGATCTGGGTAGCCGAGGGTGTTCTGCCACCCGTCGGGCATCGTGAGCTCGGGTTGTAGCCCAAGGGAGTTTATAAAATGGCAAAAAAATAGGGTTTGAGCGTGAGTTTGAGCAAGGGACGGCTGAAAAATATACTTAACATTTAACCAGGTACTGCGCGTCTAGATCCAAGTAAAACCTTCACTTTGCAAATTCTAGCCGATCCCGCTGACAAAAGAAAGAACGCGAGAAAAACGCAAAAATAACGAAAAAGACTACATTTTTGGCTAAGTCAAGGCTCATTTGCATCCAAAATTGGAATAAAGCCAAAGCTTGTGCTAGTAAAGCGATCGCGTTTTTTAGCAATTTAACGTTATAAAAACATAAGAAGCGATGCTTTGGCAAGGACAAGTTTAATGGCTCCTCCATCCATTTCGCCACCCCCATTGACGTGTGCCATCGCCTTATGGTCCAATGGTTGCTTACTTGGCTTAAAGACCGTCAGAACGATGGAACGCGCACTGTCACGCTGAGGGTGGCAAACCAAAGGACACCTCAACCAAACGCAAATTGGAACCGTGCGTTGCTAAAAGCGCTCACTAATGAGAGGAGATTGTGCCCCGGGGGCAGCAAGGCGCACCGCCTATCGCCTATCTGTCCACTGATCTGATCTGTTCAAACTGATAAGCGCCGTTCCCTTCCAGAGTTCTGACCGTCTTTAAGGAGATTTTATCGCATTTTCTCACGTAAACAGCCACCTTGAGCTCTAAGTAAGCACGTTATAAAGAGTTTGGCCTTCCGCACCGCTCCTGAAAATTTCAGCTTGATCGGATAAAAGGCGGCCAAATGCCGAGGGGGTTCTTTTATGAGACACCCTGCATATCGAGAAAAAGTAGAAAGAAAAATATGAAGATTATAAAGAAATAAAATAACATAAGATTTGGCGGATTATGCGGATTTTGCGGAATTTGATGCGGAAATTCGAGGTTTAAAAACTTTCGATTTTTGATTTGGTGCTGATGAAACCTGAATTCATTGACTAAAAAAAAGATTTATTTGGCCTCGAAACATCGTTCAATAAAGTGCCGCTTTCTTGCAAACAGCGACACGACGGTGAGCATCACAGTCGACATCGTTCCACATGTGCAGATAGGGTCTATATGGTGTGTTCTTGCCGACAATCTCATCGGTCCAGATCTAAAAAAATGAAGCGCCATTGTCTCCAAGGCGCCACCATCAAGCAATCGAGACCCCTGATTAGAGTGAGTCGTGTTTGAATAATCATTAGAATATATTCGAGCCCGCGCGAGATAAATTATTTGAAGGCATCCAGAAATTATTCAAATAATCGGTCAAATAACGGAACCACATCCGCTCCGATTCAAATATATTTGGACATCCTAAATAAAGCCGAGCTGGACAGGCTTAACGAAGTTTGAAAAATCGAGTCCATGGATTCAAGGAGGGCCTTTGTTGATGTTAGAATATCAACGCGGACCATTTTTTCGTGATGCTGAAATACCGAATAGTGAAAAATGTCGGTATTTTTCGGTATTTCAGGATCCTTTTTTGGGATCGGAATTCGCGGCAGACAACCAAAGCGCTAATCGGCGCGCTAAGCGCAATATACCAACTGCCAGAATGCCGACGTGCTTAAATGCCGACGGCAGGTTTTGTCTCGAAATGCTATGCCTATATCGAAAATTTTTTGCGTCGACATTTTTGTTGTCGATATTTTTAATGTCGGCATCCTGCAAAACGGCATTGTAGTGCTGTGCAACATTTGGCGGTTGATATTTTAGCCCAACCTGTCTCGAGATTTGACATTTATTATTGAAATCAAAGATTTGACAGTTTTTGTCAAAAGGAGTGCGAGGCAAAGATCGGTTTTATTTGAACACCAGCGGGGAGGAGCCGCTTCGCGACTCTCCCCGCTGGACCCCGTCTAGGCCCTATGAATCGAGCGCCCTTACACATAAAGTTACCCTGAAGAAAGAAAAACACATCTCCCATGCAAACCTCTTTGTATTGGCATGCGGCGCAAGCTTAAATTGCTAGTGTCGTTATTAGGCCAGCGGCGCAGCGGCGCCGGCTCGAGCGGTGTGTTTCGAGATAAAGCCTGTCGCAAGCTTGAGCGGTAACCCCCTTCTTTAGCCTGCGGCGCTAGCTTGAGCGGCTAGCTTCGTTCTAAAGCCTGCGGCGCTAGCTTCAATGGTTGGTTTTATTCGTTAGCCTGCGGCGCAAGCTTGAGCGGCTAGCTTCGTTCTAAAGCCTGCGGCGCAAGCTTGAGCGGCTAGCTTTGTTCTAAAGCCTGCGGCGCTAGCTTGAGCGGCTAGCTTCGTTCTAAAGCCTGCGGCGCAAGCTTGAGCGGCTAGCTTCGTTCTAAAGCCTGCGGCGTTAGCTTGAGCGGCTAGCTTTGTTCTTAAGCCTGCGGCGCTAGCTCGTACGGCTAGCTTCGTTCTTAAGCCTGCGGCGCTAGCTTGTGCGGCTAGCTTCGTTCTAAAGCCTGCGGCGCAAGCTTGAGCCTCCCTATCCCGCGGCGCAATTTTGAAGGGCTAGCTCTGACCTTGGGCCCGCGGCGCTAGCTTTCCCGGCTAACTTCCTTCCGAAGCTTGCGACGCTAGTTTCAGGGGCCGGCCTGAACCTTTAGCCTGCGGCGCTAGTTTCAGCGGCTAGCGTCGTTCCAAAGTCTGCGGCGCTAGCTTGAGCAGTAGGTTGATTCCTTGGCCTGCGGCGCATGCGTGAGTGGGTAGCTTCATTCTATAGGCTGCGGCTTGAGTGACTAACTTCATAATAACCTCCCTACACGGAAATCTACTCCGAAACGCACTTTCCGAGCAAAAAGCAAAACAACTACGATATCCGAGGATCGAACCTCCGATGGTTGGATTAGCACGGCGAAGCGCTTACCACTACGCCATGCAATGCTAGGCAGCACGCGTCAAACACCCGTTTTATGCCTCAAGAGGACTGCCCGGGGCAGGGAGGAAACGCATCGAGAGGCAGATCCAAAGAGACGACCAAACTCGCGAGTGCAACTGGCAAGAATGAGGAAATTTGTATTTTTTCACATTATGCAAATTAGCCCTCCCGGACCCCCAAAAATCAATAAAAGCGGCTTTAACTTTGTAAACTTGTATTTTATCGGGATTCTGAAAGCGCCATCGGAAAGAGGAGGGTCGATTCCCCCGGGTGACGGAGCATTAGGGCATTTTGGACACGGGAAGGCCCTCAAATCGGGCCTCGAAAGTGACATCCACACACACACAAAGAAACGCGACCAAATTATATAAGGTAGGATGTTCAAGCATATCCGAATCGGCGCTCCGGGAGCAATTATTTGAATATCCGTTATTTGGATTTACTTATTCAAAGTGGATTTGTATTTGCAAACGACGCACTCCCGTGATAGCACAAGGGGATAGCCTACCATGATGCAATTTTCCCGGCCGCCGACATTGTTGGGCTCACCGTTTGCCCACGGATAAAAGGTGAACGGGCTTCCGTCAAGCCATGCGAAGTCCGTTGCATTGGGACCGATCTTGAATTCGCGATAAAATGGGATTTGCCAAAGCTCTTTTCCTCCCCAAAATCCTCTGACTGATGACTTTTTGAACAGATTACTTCCCAGTGAAGCGATATCTCAGAGATTTTTTGGTAGATGCTTTTCGAACACAAAAACATCGCTCGAAAAATGAGCTCTGATTGTCCAGCCGAAAAATCATCAGACAAGGAATGCTTACCCGCTTAGCACCGATCATGGCGCTAAATATAGTATCGCCTGGGTAACCAGTCTTCGCGAAATCTAAAATTTGCCGTTGATGTGTATAAGCCATCAGGACGAAAAGAAACCTTTATCCCCCTCTAACTCGACACAGAAGTATCGGATCGGAATGATACTCCTTTCGAAGGTCATTGAAACGGCAAGTTTGCAACAATTTTCAAAAAAAAATTGTTGCAAAAATGAAAATGCGTCGGGCTTTCAAGAGTATGACGGCAAAGTATGAAATAACGATGCAGATTCTCAAAAGTTACTTTCGAAAATATGATTTTTCGAAAAAATATTACCAGTAACTTTTTTTTGCGAAAAAGGATGTTCTTAAAATTATCACCGGCCTCCCACCCACCAATGATGACGTCATTTTCCTCATTGGAAGTCACAGACGATATGGTAGCGCCGAGGGCCCGGCACTGCTCTTCTGCATTTGCAAAGTCGATGTTGTAGACGAGCTGATCGTGGATATTCTTTTATGATAATCTGTTGTGGAACCTTGTAGCAGCTTTTCGTCGCTGTTGCATACATCCACTCGGTTTCGCAAGGGGCCACTTGAGGACCATTCTGTAATACGCAAATATTGAGCGGGGAAAGTAAGACCCTTGCAGGCAAAAGGGAGAAATAGACGGTAACCGAGGATTAGTAAAGGCAACTACTTGGATGAGCTTACCGATTTTTTCCCAATGCACATAGTCGGGTACTTGTCTTTCCAGGCGGCCGTGTTCCATTTTCCGTTTTGCATGCTCATCACCAGGTTTCCGGAGTCACTGGCTGCTGAAGTATCACTTTTTTGGAATTTTTAAAGCGGTCACGCTATCCCACATTATTACGCCGATAATGATAGAGCGAGGGAATTTCTAGCCTGGGAGGGATGTTATGAGGGATTATAGCATGTTTTGAGAAAAGCTCTGGCCTTCAACCTTTTCTCTTGAGGAGGCTATAGGAATCTAAGCTTACTAGGGAAGTGCAAATAAAAAACCCAGCAAACCGCTTACAAGGAGACGTTTTTGGGTGTGAATGGAGTTCTGAGTGGAAACCAGGCCTATTTTGTGCAGAATTTTGCGCTGATTCCGAATATGTTTTCCATTTCTGCTAAATAGCTCGATTTCAAAAGTTACAGCAATTTTAAGATCATTTTGGCCCAAATTTTCCCGTCTTTAGGGACCATTATATTGCTTTTCCCGGCTGTTTTTCCAAAAATAAATATCGTCACCGTATTCAGAAAAATTTTCTTTATCGAATGAGCTATTTAACTCAAAATTGTTGAAAACCGAAAAAAATCGACGATACTTGGTATGGGCTGCGATTTTTGTATGGGAAATGGTGAAAAACAGCCTATTTCTCACCCCTGTAAGCCGTCGTCGATCGGCAGTAGCGCACTAATCAAATATACCATTCAAATCAGAAAAAATTCTCTACAAGATAGGCTACTTAAACAAAATTAAAACATTATAACAAAAAAGTAGCACAGCATAGCATGTGGCTACTCTGGGCCTAAAAATTATCTTAAAATAGCTGTAACTTTTTAAATCGAGCTATTTAGCAAAAGTGGAAAACAGCATCGCAATCAGCGCAAAATTCTGCACAGAATAGGTCTGGTTTCAACTTAAAATTCCATTCACACTAAAAAACGTCTCCTTGTTAGCAAAAATATGGATCCGATAGAGTCGGCGACGGGGATTCCGAATCTCTTGTCAGAATTTGCAAAGCGCTTAATACAAAAAATTTATGATCGTTGTAAGTTTTTTAGTTTAAACCTAAACCGTGGTATCGATCTGCTTTAATACAAACCGGCAGCCAAATTGGCATACGTTGCGTTGGTCCCGTCGTCCCAAATGATGGCCTTTCCATCGTATGTTCCGCCAAGCCAAAAGCCATCGACCCCGCCAAGGTTCTAAAGAAAGCGGCTTTCGGGCTTTTAGTTATTCTATAAAGTGTTCAAAAAGTTCTGACAAAACGTTCTAGGCGTAATTTCTGTAATTCCCTGGTCTTTTGTGCGGTGTCGCCTCCGCTTTACTCACGATTATTTAGCGAGTGTGCAAAAAAGATTGAAGATTTGGCCAGGGGAATTCAATACCAATTTACTAGACTTATCATCATTTTCAATGAGGTTTTAACGAGATTGCCCGCAAATTTCGTCGTTAACCGAGCCAGCTGTTGTTACTGATTTATGACAGGGCTTTGCCTACCCTACCGACCCCGTTAATTATTTAGCACAACCGTTATTTCTCTAGAAAGTTCGGGCAAACCGTACGACAAGCCCGATGCGTGCTGGGGTCAGTTTGTATCGAAGCAATATTCGTCTCTAGTAAACTCAGAGGATGTTCTTCCCAACCCTAGTTTTTGAGCGCCGGTTTCAGGTCAATTATCAATAACATGTGAAATTTCGTTAATTTTCGTTTTTTAAAAGTTCGTTTTCACTGAGACGCTATGCCCCAGTAAGCCTAGCCAAAACTTTTCGAACACTCTGTAGCAGACTTGGACCCGATAGTATCGCGAAGTATCGGTATCGGTATCGGCATCGGTATCGGTATCGAAATTTGCATACCGATACGATGTCGATGCCGATACCGATACCGGTCGATACTATCGGTATCGCTATTAACAATTCTGGTTTACGCATGCTTTACAGGCGAGATTTGCATAAACCCGGACCATTTAAGCCGTGTACGCCAGGCTGGGCGGTCGGTTTTTTGAGTTTTTCTTAGTTCATTGGCCTCCGGACCCACAAAAATTTGCAATTTCCTATTGCATAAAATTGTTGATATCATGGTATCGACCGGTATCGGTATCGTATCGGTATCGGTATCGTATCGGTATGCAAATTTCGATACCGATACCGATACGATACCGTCCGATACCAATACCAATACTGCTGGGCCCAAGCCTGCTCTGTACTTAGGGAAGTTCAAACAGCGCTCGCATTCAATCCGCCCACAAGGAGCGGTTTTTAGGTGCGCTTTGAATGTTTCGATGTCGCATAGCCCATTCGGTAGAGCTCCAAATTCTGAACAGGTCCGATCTTTGAAAAACTGCTGAACGATAACGGTCTTTGTTCCAAAAATTTCTCCAATTTGCTTTTTGTTAAGCGGGGGCCTAAAATATTCAAAACCGGCCCTTTCAAAGCGAATTTTCTCGAAAAGCGTAGTCGTTCAGCGCTTGTTGAAAGATGTGATCCGTTTAGAATTTCAAGCTCTATCGAACGGGCTATGTCACGTCGCAAAACCCAAAACACCTAAATCACCTAAAAACCACACCTTGTCTGCAAAGCTAGCTCATAAGCAGAAAATCCACATTTAAACACCCTCGATTGTCCGTAGAATTTCCAAAGTCCGACTAGCGTGCCCGCTGCACCTCTTTCAACCCTAGCTCTATGTCAAAGGGCACACCCACTTGACTTAATAAAGTCCTAGATTTTTGAGAAATTGCAACGTTAAAAGGTGTATAATGTACCTGTAATGACTTTTGGAATCTTTCATACCTCGAATTGCGTTCGGGCAAGTTGCAAAACTTTTGTGTTATCGAAGACGTTCGAAATCGAAGCCAGATAACCTCCGTAACTAAAAAAACACTAACGAAAACGTGCAGCACTCAACTTTTCACAAAACGCTGCGGCATCACTATAGGTCTGTGTTAGGGCCAAGCCATAATAACAGCTGGCTCCATCACCGGCGTCAACCGACGACTTTGGGCAAAAAGCCAACGATCCTAAGGAATAGTTTAACCTACAGTAGCGCTAAGAAACCTTGAAGCAGCCCAAGAACGAGGAGATCACAAAACACCCTCATTCTCCTGGGCGATTTTGAAGCGAACACGCAATGGAAGAAGCCGCCAAAACTGTGGCAGAATGATAAGGGAGCATCACGGGGCGTGATAAGGCAACACGACCGGTACTCGGCTAATCGACTATTCCGAATTTTCCCCGGCGCCCGGCGATATGTTTTCTTTGTGAAAGGGGCAGGTGGGACCGGCGCAAGCACATAAGTCGTGATTTTCAAGCACAAACTGCAAAAATGAAGAAGAATTGGTGAGGTAAAAACGTTGAATTAGTCAACAACTACTCGTTAACACATCACGACATGATACTTCCGGACGTTGTTTTGTTTCCGCACAAAGTTGATGGCGCTTTCACAAATGAAATATCGCATGTTAGACATGAAGTTGGCTGCGTTTTTAGTCAGCCTTCCAGAATCTCGGCGAGGGAGACTTACCATCCACCCTGATAGTATAAAACTCGAGCCAAACGGCGCGGTTGTCTCATTTGTAAAACGGCAAGTTGTCATTTCATATCAACGAGTAAACAGGCTTGATCACCTAAGCCTGTTTCATCGGCATAAGTTGCGTACTTTTCATGGTGTATTACCATTTAAACCTTGAAAAAAATTATGTTGAAACCGTTGGCTAGTCATGGAAAAATAAATAATGTTTCGATGGTGGCAAACCGGCCGCATTCAAAATTAATTTTTTTTTGTGTGCGCACGCAGATACACTCATTTTCAACTCCTGGCCGTAGCCTAAATATATCTTTTATTTTGGTTTTTCCTGGTGAAACTGGTGAAATTGGTTTCAAAATTTGCGAAAAGCAGACAGTTGTTGAATCATATTGCAACAATTGGAGGCGGCATAAATTCAACGGTTCTGCCGAGCGTCTCATTGAACCGTTGCTAGTTGTCAATTGGAGCTTCGGTTTATTCAAAAACTATCGAGATTTATATTAACACATATTAATTATGCATAACTGCAAATATTGCCGCCATTTTCTGATTATAACCTCCGTCTTAAATTCCATTTTCGAAACCTTGGCCGTTGACACAAATCCAGCAGCTGGTGTGCGTAACCGAGACTTGGAGCTGATTGGACAATTCGTGATGGTTGGTGCTTCACTTTTTCAGCGGTCCTATGGCATTATCGGGGGAGCAACCTTTTCTAGGGCTCATTTTTCTAATCTAAATAGAACTGTTGCTTCGAAACGATTTTCTACTTGTTTTAGACCAATAGACTTTACAAATTTTGATTAAAAAATACCAATTTTCAATAAACCCAATTTTTTTTTACTTAGAATAGAAAAAGTTGGTCCCCCCGATAATGCAAAAGCACTTGTATTATCGGCCTAACCTAGCTATTTCAAAGGTTTTTTGAAGGGCCGACTACTTTTATTTACGCACTTTTATCATCACTAGTAATAATTCGGGTCGCGCAGTAGCCGGGCATTCACCGTAATCGGCCGGGTATAGACGAATTTTAATCTTACAAAAATATAGCCCATTTCCCGTTTCATGGTCTCTTTAAATGTTTAAAATAATTTAAAAATAATCTTACAACAGAACAAAAAAAAATCAAATTTAGCCCCGACCTTTGGGTGGCAGATCTATTGGTCCAGCGGTGGGCTGGCTGGCGGCATTGTTTGGTAAGTGATTTTTCATATGATCATATATACACAGGGACGTAGCGTAATACCGGCCCCGGGGGCCCGGGCCCAAATTAAGCATTTTTTGGACTTGGGATTAATGTACCAAAACTCCAAATAACATTATTAAACATCTTCAGATTTAATTAACTTTTTCAGGCATCGCCATCCTTGCCGGTTTTGGTCTTTCACTCCGAAAGAAACGCGCCGGTCTTATTAAACGGAAAAATTCGGAAATTGAAATGGAAGAAATGGTGAAGGTGTGAATAAATTGTGTTTCACTCTTTTTCTATTATCCTACATGTCAAAGCAGCTTTGACAGATTTAATTGGGAACATGTTGCCTTCGTAGTTTGGGGCGCTCCGTACACAACCAGCTGTCGCGTTGCCATGGCTACCGTAGTCACACCCAAACCAGGGTAATTTAGAGCAACAGCAATTTGGCCGTATCAAAAATAGTAGATATTTGATCTTTTTACAAAGCAATTAATTTAACAACTCTCACAGTTACCCGATACCTGAAAAATCTCAGAAACAACGATTTTTCGAAAAATCAAAAAGATTGATCTTCATTTGAATCAAATGACCAATCGACGAGTTTGGTCTCTTGCTATTTTTCTATCAGGAATTTTTTCGTGATTTTGAATTTTAATGTTAGCTTGTACTTTTTAATTGCGCGTAATTATGCAAACTTCGAAGGATTCTTATTTTCAGCAATGAACAAAGGCGACAAAGTCAACGGTGAAGATATTTGGCAGGATCGGGAAATCCGATTTGATGTCGATGCCAGGTAGATCACTAGTTAATACAATCTTTATAACGCGTTTTGCTGTAGAATGCTTCGACTTATCCCGGGCGAATCGCTCGCCGATAAAATTGACAACGTCGAGGACACGAAAGGGAATAATGGTGATCGTGGCGTGATGAGGGTTACGAATTTGAGGTTAGCCTGTTTCACATCCGGGAAATATTGGGAAGTGTCCTTTCGAAGGGCCCTGTTCAGGAATTTGTGCGTTGCCACCCCACAAAACCACAGGATTTCAAGGGGTCCAACAAAGTCCGGAGTCCCAATGGCATTACGGCATGTAATCGCGGCGCTCGCAAAAATTGTTTAGGCCCCGAAAACAATACGGCGTTGTCACCCGGAAATTCATGTCGTTGTCATTCTGCTGCTTTTCAGCGGCAGCTCTTTCCCTGTTGGCGAGTAGTTGAGTACACCCCCGCGAATTTTGACATCCAGCCGTTCAAGCTGAATTTCGAGCTCTTTTCAGACTCATCTGGCACGCCGCGGCAATGCCAAGAATTAATCTATCCATCGGCTTCTCCACTATTAATGGGATCTCAGCAAAGAAGGCTCATTCGGTAGGTTTTTCTAAAAGGTTCTAAATCCATTTGCCTGTTCAGAAAATCCGAGGCGAGGTCGAGTCGCTGTTCATCATGGCCAAAGCGCCCTCTACCCGGTTTGAGTTCATTTTCACGGCTTTGAACCCGGGAACTGTACGGTTGTTTACTACGGTCATGTCCATACATCGGGCTTATGAAACGACGAAGATGTATCGGGAATTGAAGGTGAGTGAGAGAGACAGAGGGACGGAGAGAGCAAGAAAGAGAGAGAGAGAAACCCTGTGAGAGAGAGGGAGAGAGAAGAAAAGACGGAGAGAGAGCGAGAGAGAGCGAGAGAGAGCGAGAGAGAGAGCGCGCGCGAGAAAGGAACGAGAGATAGAGGATCTAACCGTCCGTAACCATTTGAGTCACATAAGTTTCAGATGAGAGGTGCCGTAGTCGACGACAACGAGCAAATCCGCATCCTTCCCCTGGAACAGCAAGCTGAGCGAGTTACTGGTGTCTGGAACTTGAGTAGTGATCAGGTAGTTTACACCTTCTAGGAGCTTACATAGGCCTCGTCATAGGGTAACCTCGGTTGTTTCATCATCACCAACGTTCGGGTCGTTTGGTACGCGTCAATGAACCCGCAGTACAACGTTTCCATCCCATATCTACAGCTTTTTAGTTGTCGGTAGGTAGCAGGAGGATCTCTCTCTTTCTCTCTCTCTCTCTCTCTCTTTCTCGCCCTCTATCTCTCGCTCGTTTTGCCGACCTTCCGTCAAAATAACGAGTTACGAGATTGAATCTCCTTTTAGTGTCCGCGACTCGAAATTTGGGCTTGCGTTGGTCTTGGAAACGACATCAACAGTATGTTTTTTTCGGGAAAAGAATTTATACCAGACAACATTTAGAGCGGCGAATACGTGCTTGGCTTCCGGATCGATCCAGAGGAAAAGCTGCAAACTGTAAGTCTAAGCCAATGAGCCGCCCTGACCAAACAAAAACTTGAGAGAGCGAGAGAGGGAGAGAGAGAGAGGGAGAGGGAGAAAGAGAGAGAGAAGAGAGTAATTGCATCGCCAGAACTCAGCCACTTCAGGTGTGCAAGACGATCCAGTCGATGCACAAGACTTACATGATGCGCCCAATCTTTGGCGTCCAGGTCACCAGGGATCGCCCGGTTCGTGCATTAAATCTATTCATAGAAAATAGCTGTTTTAGCCGACACCCCGACTCGGCGTCACAGATGCCGTGGATGCGATGGAAGACGACGTAGACGTGATTGAAAAGTTTGGGAGACCGGATGCGTTTGCGGTAAGTCTTATCAACACCAGACACCGAAAACGGGTCAGCCAGCAGTGATTTTTGGGGGACATTTATTTCCAGAAAATACTTCCAATAAAAAACAATAAATACATAATCAACTATAATAAAAAGTAAAGACGTCTGTGTGTGTGTGTGTGTGTGTGTCTGAAGCCGAATTCAACTCGAAGGGGAAAGGAGCTAGAGCTTAGCTCTCTTCGGATTCGGATAGAGCGTGGTCAGAAACCCCCAAACTGATAAAAATTATAAAAAAGTTTTTGGTTTAAATTATTAAAATTAACTTTGAAAGTTTTTCCTTAATAAAAGGGGTGGGGCCCTCTCCCGGGAGGCCACGCCCCCTTTTCCCTTCGCCCCTCTTCCCAGGCCCCTTCCGCGCCCAAATAGCCTTTTTAAGTTACTTTAGTACTTTTTAATACTTTTTTAATACTTTTTTAATTATGTTAATTAATTATTTAAATCATTTGAAGCATCAGGAAGGTATTTAGGTAGTTTTTGAAGGGGGTTTCGGCTATGGAGGGTAGAGGGGGTGGGTGGGGTGGGGGGTATCTGAAGCCATCAGGAAGGTATTTGAGGTAGTTTTGAAGGGGATTTCAGCCATGGGGGGTATCTGAAGCCATCAGGAAGGTATTTGGTAGTTTTTGAAGGGATTTCGGCTATGGGGGGTATTTGAGCCATCGGGAAGGTATTTAGGTAGTTTTTGAAGGGGATTTCGGCTATGGGGGGTATTGAGATGGAGGTGGGAAAGGATGTGGTAGAGTGGGACATGTAGGGTAGCCCGAAGGCCAGATGGTTGCAGTCGCGAAGGGACTGTAACCATCTGGTAATAAAATAGTTGTTTTTAGTAACTAGTGCCAGGCAGCGAGAATCCTTTAGGAATTTTCTCCAGAATTTCTCCGAGCCGTCTTCTTTAAGGTAGCTGTCTTTCTTTGAGCTACTTCTTATCTACGGGCAAACTAATTGAGGTTCCTTGAAAAGTTTTCCGTATTTTTACGGTAAAATTTTCATGATGTGGATTTAGAGTTTTAACTGCCACATTAGTCCTTATTCCTAACGTCAAAAAGTACCATTCGTAGTCATAACGTTCAGGCGTACTTCTCCGACAGCAACGTCACCTACGACCACCGACCACCCGTATTTTCCGAAGAGCTCGGGCTCGCTGTGGAACAGCTGAAGGACGGATTTACCATTTCGGATCTGTGGTCCGTGCATACTGATTAATCAATTCGGTACTTTTCTAGTAAATTCCGAAAAAAAGCAATCATTTATCCCGACTTCAATTGGCAATTGAGTTTTGAGCAAATACAGAAAATACATGTTAAGGGGAATTCCAATAAATTAGCCCTGACTAATGGGCTTCTTGGTAGTTGGCGTTGACGTATCCGTTCTGGCTCTTCTGGAGGTTGCCAAGCGTTTTGTTGATCACTGAAATGTATAAGTAGCGAGACAGAAAGAAAATGAGAGTACGTGTGTGAGAGCGAGCGAGCCCCCGAGAGGAAGAGAGAGCTAGTGAGAGATAGCTAGAAAGAGTGAGAGCGAGGTAGAAAGGTACAGGGAGAGGGAGCAAGAGGTGGAAAGCGAGAGCTAGCCAGATCGAGAGGATGAGAAAGCGGGAGAGAACGAGAGTGCGGGAGAGAAAGAGAGTAAACCC